ATTAATTGTACGAAAGATGACGTCTATATTGGAAAACAAACTAGAAAACTCGCCTAAACAACTGAAAGCTTCTCCTATAAATAAATTCTCCATAAAAAAAAATTGGAAAAATTGAAAAGAATAAAACAAACTTAGACTTGAAAAGAAATTTGAGCCTTGGAAACCACGAAACTATATATAGTCTATATATAGTGCTTTGTATCTAGTAAGAGATTACACAGACATCTGTCAATCACGATGCGATTGTGAATGTGGCCGTTTAGCTTATAAACTGAGCGGAGATTTACGATTACCACTGAACAAATTTTCCAAATAAAAACTGGTATATTTTGTCTTGGATAAATCTACATTTTGCCAAAATTCAATCCGCAATTTAATCATTAATGACATTTTTAGCGCTACTATGTGTTGTCGCACGTCGTGCATTCATACCGTAATCCGCATTGCAAAAATTGTCAAATTCGCAACCGAGAGATATTTCCATGGCCGAAAACCGCCAGAAATATGAGAGAAATAACGAAAACCCCTAAAATTCTTGTCAGGAACTGACAGCCAATAATAGTCCCCGAGCCGTCCAGTATTTTAACTTCATTTTTCAGTTTCCCAGTCATAACTAAGAAAATCGTGGTGGTCGAAAGTACTCATCTTGAGTCGAGTCTCATATGAAAGCATATAATCCCATATCTAGACTAAATATCAGTAAGAGCTCAATATAAACATGGCTACAGGTGGTATGACCAACGCGGGTTCCGGACCCGTTACGGAGCCTAGCCTATCTGAGCATCAGGCCTTCGTTTTTCCGCCCGAGAACCTGGTACTCAGGAAAAGTTCTATTCAAAAATAGTTCAATAATCCATCCATCCTCCATTTCAGCTCATATTTTACAAACTAACTTACAAGGAAATCTTAATCTTACTTAATAATAACTTGTYCAGTGATTCTCATCCCAAGGTACCCTGGTTCCAGATTTTCTCTTCTTTTATAGATGTGTTTTGTTAAGCATTTATCGTATTTTTGTATTTGCTTAGACAAGATAAATACGACCAGGGTAATCCCAGGGTAAAATACGGTGATGTTTTTTGTTTTTAATCCCTCGTCGATGAAAAGTGGATTGGGGAACATCTTTTAGCGGTGGCAACCTGCTTGTTACAATACACTGGCTGTCTTTGTACCACTGAATCACTTAAAATTCCTGGATATTCCAGAGTTGGTGAAAGACTCTGATATAAATAAACTATATGGCCTGCACTTATAATATGGTTTTATAAAACGAGTCTTAAACTAACAACTAAACAAACAAGAAAGCAAAGAGAGAAGTTGACAAGATAAACCATGAAAAATAACGACATTACCTGGCATCGGCAAACAATGTCTGCAGAAGTGGCCAATATGTCCACGAGTTTACCCTTGCCTTCGTCGCCAAACTGGGATCCTAAAACCACTGTTACTTTGTTTCTTGGACGCTTTGCCTCATATAGAGGTCTGTACATTCCATTTTCATAAATTRTTATCTCTGGCATGATGGGAAGGCTTGTAAAATTTGAACCAAGTTTCGCTTTGTCCTAGCAAAGAATATACTCGCTGCGAACGCTTGTTGGTTAATAGTGAAATTGCAAAACGCAGCGCGTTTTATATGATAGGTGTCCCGCCGAGCCTATGGGGTGTCGTCTGTCAATCACCGGCCTGTCTCTCATCCAAACTGAGAACTTTAATTTAAGTGTCATAGATGATCAAGATCATGTTTCGAATATGCCATTTCATAAAAAAAAACAATAAAATTATAATCA